GGAAGTCGTTGGTAGTTCGTTTCTAATTTATCATTTCCAGAAAAAAAACGATAAGCATATTACCAAATGAGCCGATGCTAGCCGGAAAAAGGCCTTTTCGTGGCGTTCCATCAATAATACATCGCCAGCGATGAATTGCTGATTGTCGCAGACACTCCAGTAGTGCATCTTGAAGCGCTTCTTTCAGGACATCAATCAAGCCAGGGTCTTTCTGCAGGGTACGGTACAATGGCTTGTCCATTAATCCCTTTACCTACAAACAATATTTATAAAATTCGCATATTCTTTAAAGCTGGTCTCTCGATGTGTAACTCTCTAGCAATCTGGTGCAGTTGCGCAGTGGAAAACGTTAACAGATAAATCATTGGTGGCGCGCACTGGGCGGGCCCGTGCGATCATGTGTTTTTGCAGTATTTAGTGCTGTAATGAGGCCGCCCGGAAACCCAGTAGCTCGAACGTATGAAAAACCGGTGCTCGAATTTAGAGAAGTTAATTATTACGCGGTACTTGGACAGGGAACATTCCATTAAAAGTACAGTTTTCCAGCTTTCTACTTCCCGAGTTAGAAATTTTCCCGTCAAAAATTTCCACGGGGCGTGCATGGGAAAACGCGTAGAGGGGGCTAAACTTAGTTGTACTGTACTGGGAACATTTCCTAAAAATTTCACTCCCCCTCCCCGCAACTTTTCTGGTTCCCGAATTAGCCACTTTCTCGCCAAAAATTTTCACAGGGCCGCATGTGAGAGCCATGCACACTGAGGGGCTGAATTCGATAAATTTATGTTGTACATGTGAGAATTTCAGCACCCCAGCTCTCCTGTATCTCAAGTTAGCGATTTTCCCGCCGGGAAACTTCGCGGAGCCGTACGTGAGAACCACGCACGCCTGGAGGCTAAATTTGAAATCTTTGTGTTCAGTGTGAACGAGGGACATAACTGGAAATTTTCAGCTTTCTAGCTTTTTTGGTTCCCGAGTTAGCGACTTTCCACCAAAACTTTCACCCTCTGATACGCGGGCCTGGACTTTCATGGGAGTTGGTGCCACGGTCCCGAGGTGGTACTTGGCCGGGGGACCATTAGGCAAAATTTCGGTGTCGGAGGTTGCTTGGGTGCCGAATTGAAAGACCCGGACAGACGCACACACAAACAAGCATTCATACAAGCACACACGCATACACTTACACCGTGGGTCGTCAATATATGTTTCCGCATTTGCATATATGCAAAAACGCTTGAAAATACGAGAATGATGCTGGCGATAATTGAAACGGTTCAAACGCATCTTTTAGTGAAGTTAAAGAAATGTTCCGGTCCTTGAAATCGGACACATTCCTTTTACTTCGTATAACACCACTTGAACATTCATCATTTTTTTGCAAAATTAATGCGCTTATCAGAAGCAGACGAAGTTGTGCTTGGCCGTTGCATGTCTTTGATGCGTATTAAGGTCAGGTGCATGTGTACGTGTATGCTTGTTTGTTCAATCATATTAAAGAATAGCGCGTTTTATGAAATGGTATCAAAAATGTGTGTATGTTTAACGACCTATTTGTTTCCGGACATCAGTTTCACACATTTCAACTTATGAACTGCGAAAACTAGGTAACTGAAATTCGGGAAATTCATTCCCGACAGCACAGTCGAAATCAGCTCTCAATTCATCTTCCGCATCCAACTTTCGCCTCAATTCCAGGTTATCTAACCAAAACTCCAGAAACAAATAAAGA